CGTAGTGGTCGTCCGCCACCCTTCATCGGACATCCTTTTTTCTTTTTTTTCCCATTTTCGGCCCACAATTTTGACAATGACGTCTACCAATCTTGCTACTGGATGTTTCACGTTTCTACAAGAATTTCTTGGCCACCATGCGGTTGTCGCACTCCTAACTTATGCCTAGTTTATTGACTTTTTTTATTTATTTAAACTTTGCGTATAAAAAATATTTGTAACAGATTTTTTAAGCGACCGTAAACGACCCCCGAGAGCTCCTGCCCTAGTTTGGCTTGACGCATGTTCAAGTCCTGTCAGATTGAAAGAATTTTTCTTTGTAACAACGCACTCACTCATAACCCCGCGCTAGGGAAATCCTGTATCGCGAGTGCCTCGGACACACACATATATAACTACAAATTACACCAAAACTCCCGAGATAAATAAATGTCCTACAAATATTTCTCCCAGACTGGAAATCGAGCGACCTCTGCGTGACAGTCCAGGGTGGTCACAGGAGGCAGTTTGGATTTGTGTTCGATCTTTGTATTAAATAATTATCATTAATTCAGTTAATTTTCAATTACCTACTTTTACAACTGTAGTTTCAGTAGACACACATATCTAATGGTGAATTGATAATGATTTCGTTGTTTTATTGTGATACTCTTAATAGGACCCTGGTACAAACAATAAAATTTTAGATTTAAAAAGATACGAACTACAATTATAGTTCGACTCGACCGGCTTTCGTTATGGTATTGCTGTTGTATAGTTTAGCGTGTCCATCGTGCCTAAGCTGTTATTTAGCATTTTGTCGTCTAACATTATGCTAATGGTTTTGGTAATATTTTTTGATACGCTCACCCTTCTTTTAGATAAGGAAGGGGCATTGGTTTGTAGCGAAAGTTATTAGGACTTTTATTTCTATTATAAGCTGTACTGACAAATTACAGCTCGTGATTTCGTTTGCATTTGGAACGAAAAAAGAGCTTTATGTACAGAGTATTTCTAAAGCAGAGTAAAAGGAAAGAATACAAGATTAGTTTATTGGAGTGGTCTTATGTTAAGTGGTTATCTTATTTGTTATTTTCAAAATACATGTATATATTATAATCATCATCATCATCATCAGTCTATCGCAGTCCACTGCTGGACATAGGCCTCTCCCAATGCGCGCCATTTCATCCAGTCCTTGGCTTGTCGCCTCAGCCTTTCGTAAATTATCACTCCATCTGGCCAGAGATCTATTATAATAAAAATAGTTAAATATATCAATTAAGTGTGTTTTTTTATGATACCAAGTGACGGGACGAACTGCAATGCTACTGATAGGTAAGATGGCAGTATTTCCCTGAACGAACTCTTGTACAAGAAGTTTTATTCTAATGCTTGTGTGTGTATTTAGATTGATACAATACTTTAGTGATGGTGTGTCACACCTCAATGGGGCAAAATTTTTGTTAACCTTACTGACACCAATTTCCAAAGTTAAAATTTACAATTTATAAAAGCATTGTTTGTACACCTGTGGCTGATTATGCGTACCACAGCCTTGTCACAATTAATTTCCACTATGTGAAAATCAATATCAAACTAAATACTTAAAAATTGCATTTATCGACATGAACATCGACCAATAACACAGCACTAGTAAAGTTATGTCGTTATGCAAAACAGTTGGTGGACAATATCAGATCGCAGCCGAACCAAGCGCGGTCACACTTTGCGTTTAGGGCGAATAAAGGTTTTTTATTTTTTTGATATACTCAGGATACTGTAATATTGTATTAATTACAGTGTAAGGGTTGGTTCAAACCTTGTTGGTCTGACTCTTCCTTATTCCATTTCGTGAAAGATAGTAAATGGATTACAACAGCGAATTTTTTTTATACAACATACGCGGCATAAAAATAGAAATATTTGTCTAGAGCGCTGAAGAAGTATTTTACATTTTTACGAATGTTCTTGTTATTTTGTATTACATTAGAAAATATGAACACTTTACAAGTGTAACAATTGTTACGATTCCGGCAATCCTATAAACGTTTAATACGCCTAACATCTTTACAGTAGAGAAAGTTCCGTGGTAAGATATTTTATAAACATTGCCGTACTGTACCACTCTCATATTATTGGAATCCTTACTGAATACGTAACCTCGTATGGACTTCGGATTTGTAACAATTGTCACAAAAGATTGGTTAACGCAATAAAGCGTCAGACGTATTTGTCGAATGTTAAAATAAAAATGGGAGTAAATTAGTTTGCGATTCTTCGACGCGCGGTTTCGCAAAGGTTTTGGGTTCGCGGAGTAGCAAATTAATTTCCTTCCATTTTTATGAACATGGACTTCTGCAAAGTAATGCCTGAATCTTATCTTATATTTATTACGGATCCTAAAAGCCATGTTAGAAGTTATGAGATATTCAGGTTGTTTTTTAATCTATATGAACATTCTTATACTGAGCGGTAGACTTTGATATTAATTATTTGAGAGCAGCAACTATCAACACGTGAAAATAGAACATACGTCTTTGTATGTTTTTACAATTGCAATTGCAAAATTGTAATGCTGACGGAACGCTAGTCAGCAGTTATTACGCAGTTGCTGTGCAGTCGTAATGATTGCAGCTTGTGTGAGTACAAGGCGAGATCGAGATGCTTAACGCTATATTCCATCGCTGAAAATAAGGGGGAGGCAACACCGAATGCATTAGTAAAAACCGAGCCTGCTTTTCAGACATGATTGTAACTTTGTAAGATTTACAAACCCTGTGTTCCATATATCGTTTTCACTACATAAATAACAGTTTAATAAAACCTGAATTATTAATTTTGAATTACATGTGCGTTACATTAACAGTAACATTCATTAATATTGACTGCCTCGGTGGCCGAACGGTTACCATGCTGGTCTGCCACGCAAGAGGTCCCGGATTCGATTCCCGGGTCGGGAGAAATATTTGTATGGCCTACATTTATTTCTCTAGTGAGTTTGGGTGTAATTTCTGGTTATCTATGTGTGTATTGTGCTGTAAAACGCCTTAGCTCGAAGTAATATAAGCTACACTGCAAGTGCATCACGATTGCAAAATAGATGTTGAGGTGCTATCTGAAAACTGGATATAATTCAGCAACAGCACTACGAGTGCCAGTGACTGCTCGACCCTTTGTCACTTACGATAATTATTCAGGACAAGACATATAAAGTTCTGATTTCAAACTCTACGCGATGTAATGTATATTCCAATACAAGAAACTCTATTTTAAAAACAGCCTAAGGGCAAGGGGCACGCATTTTAAACTGATATTCGCGTGTAACCAGCCGTCTTAATCGTAATATATTTAGGGTTCAATGTTGTAATTACAAGCTGTACTTTTTTTTGGCATAAGGCGGTACATTGTGAAATCAGATGATGGCTGTCACTACCGCTTATAAATTGTCTTTATGCCTTCACAGTAACAATGCCTTTTTCGAAATGGACAGCAGACATTATGTATATAGTTAAAGGAGCTCTTGTAAAGCTTTAACAAAATTATGGATGATAATTATTTTATATCTATTAGTAAGGTGTTTTTAAAAATCTTTCGCACGAATAAATATAACGGAACCTTAAAATTCTAATCGATCTCCATAAAAGTTATTATATATGGAAATGAAAGTATTTTTTCGTATCTTTGTTTAATAGAATGTAAGTGCGCATTTGACCTCCATTTCACCTGATTGAAAGTGACGATGAGGTCGAAAATAACGGACATAAACACCTAAATAATGCCTATTCACTTTCGTATCTCAATATATTTTTTTTTTTAAATAAACCAACGTTTCTAATTAATTTAATTCAATTTAAGTAAGTCGGAACCCTTTAAAATCCCATCGCCTTGACAGTAAAAATTTTTTTTGGTACCGTTAATTTTTTGGATTTTCACGGTGATCGGGCACACCGATAAGATCGATTTTCTCGGCGCGCACGCACCCACTCACTTAATCCGTGATTTACCACCGCATCGTATTTTGATAAGTATTTTTAATTTGAATAAATTATGATTTAACTCCCTTATCGGTGAATAATATGGCTCGGTAATCATAACCGTGGTTTCATGTTGGCGTCACACCAAAATTGTGCCCTTTTGTGTGTTACTCGGTTTTGTTTTTTAGGGGCCATGAGAAATTTACTTGAATTGAAATAAAAGATTTACGATGTTTAATACATAATAAGAATATTGTGAAAAGACAGAAGTGCCTACTATCAGGGTAAAGGTGGATCTGAGACCTTTGATACTACAGGGCTGTATTCTTTCTTTCCATCACACATATCACTGTTCTGAGATCTTTGATGTATATATTAATACTTAGGGGTGCCATGTCACGTCACTACAGAATGGAGACAAACGAACAATGAGTCATCGAATGTTACTTGGATGCGTTGATTTTTTTTTTGTTTATGACGAACAAGATGTGCGCCTGGTGGTAAGCGAAATGCCTCTCTATAACAGTTGCAAAGCCGCTTAGAGCTTTAAATTGCAAAGACCTGTGGGGCACTGTCACTACGCCCGTCACCCCGAGACATAAGTTGATTTAATTAGTCCTATATGACTGTAATTTCACCAGTAACCTTACGTTTGAGAACCGGAACGCAGTAATATTCACATTACTGCTTGGCGGCAGATTTAGGTAAGGTACGAACTCATTCACAAGGATCACTATTGCTACTAATTCTTTTTGTAAAGTTGATCATAGCAAGCAGCTAAGAAAATGAAACTCGCTATAAGATCTATTAGTCGTTAAATAGTTTTCTTATAGGAAATGAAACTATTGTTTTCGAATATAAATATCGTGTATATTTGTTTTTTCCCATGGTCACGGGTGACTGATGTTGTAAAGTCATCAACAAGTTATATATAATATTAAAGCAAACCATCCTATTTTTGACTATTTTTTACAAAGGTTATTAATATTTAATTTTATTAATGAAATTTTCAAGGAAACGTTTTTCTTTACAGAAAAAGGCCAGATTCGAAACCACGACCCTCTGCTTGAGAGGCAGCAGGTAAAACCATTATGCTAATATGGCTTATTTATTATTACATGAATAAATAATGCTTCTTCACTTTTATTATGAAAATATCTAGCGATTTAGTCATTAGTCATTACTATTGATTTTTGGCATAAAAATGTTCGCCTTATCAACATAGCGAGATCAGATTTGAAATAAGAAAAAAAATGTGTTTTGTGCCAAACAATTACATCAATTGTATAATCTCAAACTATGGAATTCTGTAATGTAACGGTATTCTAGTTAATGTCCCTGAAGGACATTACCTTTAGGGACATTAACTAGAATACTCAGACCCAATTAAGAAAAGTTCGTTTTTTTGGTTAGTTCTACCGGGAATCTCATTGAGCGCCCAGAGCTGAGAGTGTAGAGCCACTAAGGTCGCCAAGGACAAGGACATTCGAGTTGTACCATTCAATAACATTTTTTTTTGTTTCAGGTGTATTTCCTCCACGATGCCTCATACAGGTAATTATTTTGATTGCAATTATCTATTTTAGTGCTTTTGACTCAAAGCCAGGATAGTTTAACGTGACTACACGTCCCGCCTTGAGCGGGACAGTCCCGCTTTTAATCTTGTAACCCACTCACTGTCCTCAAAATACTGAACAATGTTTCGCTTTGCCAAAATAGAAGACATGTAATATGAATGTCTAAAAAAATAGCACGAAAGCGAAAAATAAACCAGCCCACAAAACTACACAAGAATAGTTCATGTTTTTTTAAATTTTTTTTTTCATTAAACTTTTAATAACTATCATAAACAGGTGTTTTATTTTTAAAACAATGAGGGGAAAAGTAATGGTGACGTCAAGTTCAAAGTTGAAAATAAGTAATTTCGCAAGCCCTCATCCCTATTATTTTTTTGTAGAGTTTTAATGGTTTTGGCATGGAGCCGTACAGCCTATTCCTCAATTCTTTTCTTCATTTTGGTTCCACTTCTAATATTGGTTTTCTTCATATGACATCAAAAGTGGAATTATGTAATTGTAAATAGGTTCATATTTTTTTGTTATTGGCATATTTAGCCGATCGTTTCACAAACGTGCCATAAGCGACACAAATTCACTGCGAAAGTCTCCGTGTGTAACCACAGTTAAACTTCACACTGTTATATTGACATCAAGTTACCTTAATCATATCTGGTCATTTTCGTAGTAGTACCAGTAGCCAGGATTGTTTTATGACTAGTAATTTTATTGACACTAAATTTAAGTTGAAATTTGTGTAAATCAGATTGCGTTTCAACACACGTCTTATCTATAATCTTATAACATTGTAATCAGACACTGGCGTCAGATGAAAGCTGAATTTAAATTGCCGTTGAAAATAATCGTCGATCAGAGAAGCTTCTACAGAAGCCGTGGTAGTGAGATAAGACACATTAAACAAATTTCCTGGTTTCTGAAGCCAGTTTGGGAATACAGTGTAATTAAGAAGTAGAATTGCCTATACATTATGAAACTTTGAACATAAGAAATAAAAAATATGAACAGTAAAGTATAAGTTTTTTAAACAATGGGGCAAAGATGAAAACAAAGCTTAAAACAAAATGCTTTTACTCTCAAATTGTTTGTTACATTTTTCTATTTATCTTGTTCTTTTTTCTTACAGTAATATAGATTGGTGACTAGGACAGTGTAGTGTTCATATTGATTCAGTACAAAATGTTCAATGTATGTAAGTAATTGGATTTTGTCAGTAAGTTGTTGATACTTGTCTATGGAAAAGCAGTGAGCGGCTACTACATAGAAAACACTTGGAAATTAGTAGCTCCTTGTGAAAGAGTTTTTCCAGGGAAGTACTGCCACCTTAGCTATTTTTGCAGCCAAGCAGTAATGTGAGCATTACCGCGTTCTGGTTTGGAAGCGTAAGGGCGCTAGTGAAATTACAGGCACATGGGACTTGTCAATATATGTCTCAGGGTGACGGGCACAGTAACAGTGCCCCATCTTTGCGATTAAAAGCTTCTAAACTAAGCACTGCAACTGTTACGGATAGACGTGTCGTTTACCACCAGGCGCACGACTTGTTCGTTCCGTCACTTGATATTAAAAAAACATCGCTGTATATACATTTCCATAATGTATAATATACTGATCAGTCGCGGCGTGCCTGTTGCTGGAGACGTCGTTGTCCAGAAGTTCACCTTTAGTTAGTAACTTGGATGTCATTTGCATGTGTCTGTGCTCACAAGTAAATTAAATTTAACGATACGCATTAAGTAATCGGAGTAGCTGATACAGAATTAAAGGGCCTACCATAAGCCAGAAAACGAATATAGCAAATAAATTCCATAAATTGCACCTTTAGAGTAAAAGCCACATCTGCAAAATGACGACTTTTCAGGAGAAACATTTACAGATTCTACGAACGAAATTAGTATATATTATAATAACTTTTTTATGCTTTACATGGAAAAGTTACAAGTACAAGTAATAAATAAAAGTCACACGTACAATATGTGACAAAAGCATTTGTGATGTATGACAATATGTAGGTTTATTGTACCTAGGGTACAAATATCGGTGTCATCCCTATCAAGACAAAAAAAATATGGTTACCACAGAATCAGTGGCATAGATCCTTTTTGTCAACTTTATGCTAGTAAATTTCCACCAAAACGAATACATGCATAGTGCGTAGTATTTTTATGACTTTCGTGATATAAAAGCACTTTTCACGTAGGTATCACTAGTGGCATTATTATGCCAAGGGTACGAAATAAATACATTCTGTGTAAAAAAATTAAAAGGTACATAGCACAATGTACAAAGAAAACTGCGAAATAATAATAACGCGCACACACTCATAGCCCCGCACTAAGGAAACCCTGTAACGCGGGTGCCATGGACACACACATAGGCAACCACAAATTACACCCAAACTCACTTATAGGTCATACAAATATTTATCTCGAATCGAAACCAGAACCTCTACGTTGTAGTCCAGCATGGTAACGGTTCGGCCACAGAGGCAGTTAAAAATGGAAATGAGACTATTTTTTCGAATTTTAAATCGCGTATATTTGTTTTTTCAAATAAACCAACGTTTAATTATAACGTTCGTTTGTTTGAAAAAACAAATATACGCGGTTTAGATCTTAAGAAATATTCTCATTTCCTAAGGTGAACTAGTTTTTCTGTATCTTTTCGGTGAAAAGTTGAAACACGCAGTAGTTAATCTCTCACATCCTCAAACAAGATGTAAGAATCCACCAACCATTTTGACGATTTATTCGTTCGTTTCACAAGTTTAAGCGTGTGTCACAACCCTCCCTTTATAACCAAAGAATTTACCTCACGCATTGAAATCATAAGCGTTTCGAAGAAGCTCTACCACGGTCTCGACCCATTAACAGTAATTAAGAGAATCAAGAATCGTATCGCGACGAGAATCGAGAAATATTCTCGATTATATCGAATTCATATCGAGATTGTATCTGGCCACCCGGGCCGCGAGCCGTCTCATACATTATACATGCTTAATGTACATTAGTCTCTTATTAACGCGTTGACAGTTTTAGTTTTTTAACTTGCTTTTGATTTTCGGGGCCTTTGGAGATTTTTCTTTAAAATAACGTGTTGAGTGTGCGTTTTGCTTTACTTAATATTCCGGGGACTATTGAATGAGTAAGTTTTTTTTGTTTTTCAAATTAATTCAACACTTCCGATGTAGCGGACTGTATCAACGGGGTGCGGGTGAAGACCAAAGGAAATGTACTTACAGTTTATTAAAAGTAAAGGTATGAACGGAATACAGAAAATAATGACAATAACAAAGAAAAAGGAGGCAAAACAAGTACATTTAAATTTAGAATTTCAATCCAAAATATGAGGAAACTGCTAAAAATATGCTATATAAAATGAGTACAAAAATTTTTGTATTAACTGCTGGAATTTTCTACACCCGGATAAAAAAATTTCCAAACACCTTGCATATATTCTAAAAGTATATAGAAGTATACTAAATACCTATATTATAAAAAAAAAATCTTAAGTTTCAACCGGTTTTTCAATTAAAATTTTCGGTACATACGAAAATGACGTAAACCAGCTTCAAAATTGCATTAAAAAATTCAATATTTTATTTTATTGAATGAATATCATGATGGTTTTACTACCACGATATTAGTAAATTTTTTGTTAAAATACTCCACTAGTTTGTTGCTATTGTTGACACGAAGATCGAATAACGCAAAATTTCTTCGTTTTGACTGGACTTGAACAAGCGTCTGGTGTCACACCAGAGCCACCGCTTTGTCCAATTGAGCTGCAGATCGAGTCAGCAGATCTGTTGAAATGTGCTTGTTGTAGGTCTTAAACCGGTTTTTTGACGTCTCCGCCACCTGATATTTTTTTGGATTTAATACAGTTCTATTTAATTATTAAGTTTTTGTGATTGTTACACATAGGAAATGAAACTTTTCAGGTAACCTAAAAACCTGTAAAGGTACAGAAACGTTGGTTTGTTTGAAAAAAAAATATATATACGCGAATTAGACCCGGAAAAAAGAGTTGCATTTCCTTTTAACTGCCTCTGCCTGGACGAACGGTTACGATGCTGATCTGCCACGCAGTGGTCCTGGGTTCGATTACCGTGCCGAGAGAAATATTTGTATGGTCTACATTGACTTCTTTCGTTAGTTTTAGTGTAATTTGTTGTTGTTTATGTGTGTGTCTATGATACTCGCGATACAGGGTTTCACAAGTGTGAGCGTAAAAATATATGTATAAATAATTTATTTGTTGAAAATGTTGTTTCACATAAACGTCGTTATTTTAGACCTGTTTTTATTATTATTATTATTACAAAAATAACTTATAATAATACGGAACCATTTTCATCTTCAACCCAGCACACACACTTTTTTGGTCTAACGTCTATTCTCAACCTTATAACGAGACGATATGGATCTCTTTTTTTCAGAAAAATCGATTTCATTAGGCCCATTAAAACTTAATTTTCATCATATGCCAGTCATAAATGTGATAATATCAGAGCATAAATGAAATATTTGATTTCGTCGGTTCCCAAAGACTGCTTAAGACTTCAAAGTTGAGACTAAATCTAAAGAACACACACGATGTTTCCGGATTGAAATTGGAAGATAACAATCATGTTTACCGTATAAGCCTTTTTACTGTTTTACGTTTTAGCTGTTAATATTGTCACATAAATTTTAATTTGCTTCGAAATAATGGCTTGTTAAATGTACTTTAATAGTGACCGATTTAGCTTATCTAGAATATCTGTTAGTTCCTTTATTAATTTAATAATCAGAGGTTTACTATGATTATTGTCAGTTGCATGTGAAAGTTTGCTTTCAAATTTAGCATTATAAACAATTAAGAGATTATTTTAGCATCTAATTACCATAACCTTTCAAAGCTTATATTATTTTGACGACCTCTGTGGTTGAGTGACTTATACATCGGTTTAGGTTTAGAAAACTAATATTTCGATAT